TATATATATATATATATATATGTGTGTGTGTGCGCGCGCGCACGCACGCACGCACATATATATATATATATATTGACATGGAGAGATTCTACAACAAAATGAGGTAACAAAATGAAAGTTTTGAAACCACGTTACTCAAAATAAGAATCAAGTTAAATTACGTTATTTTTTATGCAATTTAGCCAATATCCCATTCAACTTAATTATTTGTATATTCAGAATCAAGAAAAAGATCATATATCTTATTTAAACCATGACATAAAACGTCTGTAGACATTAAGCCATAATCATCACCCAACGCTTTAATTAGATAGGAATAGGAATAGGAATAGGAATAGGGTATGTCTTAATGTCTTGATTGATATTCAACACCTTTTCATGTACAAAATATCATCAAATCGACTAATTTCTAGGTCATTTACGAGTAAATGCATCAACAATAATACTTATTTATTAAGAAAACTAATAAATTCAATAAATTATAGTCTTGTTTGTTTATATGACACTAGAATGGTATTCATACAATGCAGCGAGATTGTCTGTATCAATGTTATAATACAATTTTATATGATTTTGAGAAAACGACAATCACTATAATAAAATTGGGTTTTTAGGATGCCCCCGGTCTCTAAGCGTCCCAATAGACCGTTTTATAAGACCAAAATATAAACCGTTCTACCTAAAGGCGTTGTAATAAGTTTATATAACACTTTTGAGCAGTCTTAACAAGTTTTTTAGGACATTTATAATACAAAGTGTCACATCAACAATTTTATAAAAAAGTGTCCTATAAACTCAATTTTTTATAGAACACTTGTTTTATAGGACAATTTTTCTAATAGTGTCTTGTAAAGTTGCTAATAAGACGTTTTATATTAAAAGTGTCTTAAAAAACATATTACGACGTCATATAAACTTATCACAACGCCTTTACATAGGACAATTTATTTTTTGGTCTTATAAACTAAGTTCTACACAAAGATCTATTAGAACGCTTAAAAATTGGGAACGTCCTATAAACCTGATTTTGTTGTAGTGAATGTTTTTGTTTTTGAATAAAATACAAATTTTAAGATATCTTAAAAAATGAAAAAAATATATCGTTACTATTATCAAATTAACTATTTAATTTTTTTTATATTTTTTTGTAATTTCTTTTGTAATTTAATTTAAGTTTAATGATGAAATAATTTATTTTTTGTTTAATAATAATAATTTTGTATAAAGATAATAATTAAATATTCTGTTAAAACTCAAATATTATCTTAATTATATTTTATATCTTTATATTTAAAATAAAATGTTTATTTATATTTGATTATGTTTAGTTATACGACTTAAAAAAAAAAGCTGTAATAAGTTGTATTTACGCACCATCTACTTGTAATCTTAAACTTTAAGTAATATGCATTAATAATTAATACTTTATGCATAAACAAATGTTTTTTAAGAGTTTTTGTCAAATATTCTATAATATAATATAGATAAACAAGATCATACATGTCACAACTTTGATTGAATCGTTTTTACGAGTTTTTTTAGGTCATATTTACCCTGTTCTTAATTTAACGGTAATTATATATATTTTATTCGAACAATATTATTTTAATATATTTTAAAAAGATTTAAAAAGAAGTAAGATGGGAGGGAGTTGTTTGGTGAGTATGAGGTTACCTTTGCCAATAAGTAAAGTTATGTCATGAGTCATTTAGTAACATAATTCTCACATGGAAATGGAACTAAGAAATTAGTCATTTTTATGTTAAAATCAGGTTAAATCATGCATTGAGAATGTAAAAAATAAATACTGATGTTGATATATGTGAGAAGAAAATCAGCAGATAGCAGTACATTTAGCAGTATATATGAATGAACTTAGTTGAACCCCTTGTTTATCAGTATTTGATACCGACAAAGCAATCATCTCCTTTTATATTCCCTGCCTTTCACTTCACTTGAATTGCATCTCATTTATACCTGACACTTCTAAACCATCTTATACTTACAATTACATGTTATCATCTTGATTTCGTTGTGGACGTTGAGAAATTATAAGTATTTTGAGAACTTGAGAACCGATTATTCGTGTTTTATCTATAAAAGGGTTTAATTAATGCAAATTACGAGCATATGGTTTGAGGACGTTGTCTGCATATTCATCTTGAGAATGCTTGAACGTTGTTGGTTTTGGTGGCATTAGAGTATCTCCGATTGAGTGACTTACAAGATTTTTTTTTTGATTTAGTTAAATAAGAAAAATTATGTTATGAAATTTAATTTTTTTATTGTAAATAATTCATGATTTCGTGTTCAATATTCATAATGAATAAGAACAAATGGGTGTATAGTATTCTCTTTTGTCCCTTTGTTTACAATACATACATACATACATACATACATACGTACGTACGTACATACGTACGTACGTACATACGTACGTACGTACCTACGTACGTACGTACATACATACGTACGTATGTATGTATGTATGTACGTACTATAGTATTCTCTTTTGTCCCTTAGTTTACAATACATACATACATACGTACATACATACATACATACATACATACATACATACATACGTACATACGTACATACATACGTACGTACAT